TCAGTTCTGGCTCCTCCCAGTGATCCTGTATAACTTTTCATACCTTTGATTTGGGTCACAAATGCAGGGGAGAGAAACTGACTGCCAGAATTTTAATTTCTAAGTAGTGTGAACCATTAGTGGTTTAAGACACAGACATTCGTTTTTGTGAAATGGGGGAAAGTGATTAATGTTGAAGTGCCACAATGTCAATATTTTGTATGTATATTCTTATTGATTGGCTGCCTCCTGCACGCCCCAAACTGGGGCTTGAGCCTGCAACCCGGGCATGTGCCCTGACTGAGAATCAAATCAGTACATAGGTTAACCCTTACCACTGAGCCATGCCGGCCAGGCACAATGTCAATATTTTGTATTAAATGACTACACATGGAGAAACAGGAGGAAGTTAAGTCATCTGGTCCAAAGCATCCATGTTTTGGTTCCATGAATTGGCCTTTGCCATGCAGGTACCTGCACCCCTCATGTTACATATTAACCAAGTGAGATACTCACAAAAGGTATTTGCAAGCAGGGGTCCCACATGGGGAAGGGAGAGGCAGGTGGTGGAGCCTGTGCTGAGTGACAGGCAGAGGGGGAGGGGTGTTCGGCGTGCAAGGAGTGAGGTCGGGCTGGGCGACCAGCTAACAAGTGCTCCTACTTGTCACAGGGCGAGCGAGGCTGGATGCGGATAGTGACCAGCACCTACAAAGACGGGAAGGGCGCGAAATACAACCTTGCTATCGAGGACAGCTGCTCATTTGGGGACCCCATCGTTTAAGGCAGATGTCTCAGAGAGCAGATCTTTAAGAAAATATCATGAACTTCCGTGGTTTGGAGGATTGGGAGCTGATGTTCAAATCACACTGCGAGGGCACTAAGCACCTGGCGGAGCACATCCCCCGAGAGAGTCTCAGAAGGGATGGCGTAAACCAGCCCAGGCCACTCCCCTGCAGGACTGCAGTGAACCATCTACCTGCCCAAGATGGGATTACAACACATTAATTATGTGAACTGCATTTCTGTCGATTGATGGTTTGGTATTTTCCTTTTGGCAACTGTAGTCTATAATGTGGCATTTATCACCAGTTCTTTTGTCACCTTGGAAGGAATAGGGAATAGAGGGAGACAGCAGTTTCAAATCGCCCAAGTGATGAATAAAATACGGGATTTCACAAGAGGATGGAGCCTGAGCGTGCCTTATTTACACATGGGAACAGAACACCAGGGTCTACACCTTTCAACCCAACAGGAAAGTTTTTATTTGTCCTTGGGAAATTAAAACAATGAAATGACTAATCAGGTTCTTGTGAGAAAACATAAGCCAGCTTTGCAAGCAGTTGATTTAAATGTTTCAGCTTCTGAATTCCCACCACCCATCCCGAGAAGTAACCTGAACACAGGCCCTACTGGGGGAGAGAATACTGTGAACAGAACTGACAAGGTGAGGGGACCACTCATAACAGCAATTTTCCACTTATCTTGCTCACATTTTCCTTTTTAAAAAGGCCATTCACCCCAAGAACGCATTTCCGAGGTGCTGACTGAGCCCCTTTGGTCTGGAAGGCGTTTCCCCCTGGTCTGGAATGTTCGCTTCGGCTCCGGAGGGTACTGGGTCAGTTCACCAGGATGAAGTTGGACTTGCAGTGAGCTTTACAAACGGGAGGAACACGGGTCAGAACCAAGAGGTAAAACATGACATGTAAACTAGCACGGGGACACTCCCATCCAGCTTACCTATAAATTCTGTCACAGGGTCATGTTCACCTTCAGTCTTAATGGTGCCTGCGATGCTGTCGTTTTCCAAGATGGGGAGAAAAAGCTGCACGAAGTCAGAGGTGTATGGCGGAGCTATGACGTCGAGCACCTGCAGGGAGAGGACAACAGGTCACTGTTCCTGCACACACGCCCACGAGCAGCCTCGAACCACAGGCTGATGAAATGCCAGCTGGTCTGTAGTAAACCACCCTCCCTACCCAGCGTCTTGCTCCCCAGTGACCCTAGGACCCAGAGGGCAATGCAGGTAAACACAGTACAGTCCCAGCATGTAGGAGGAAACTGGTATCTATGTCACCATAATCGGCATGGTTACCAGGAAGCACAGTTCTCAGGGTTAGGTACAAAACACACTTAATTAATCCAGAAAGGGCACTGTTAGTATACACAGTAAGGAACATGAAACAAATGGTGTTGCTGACCTCGGTTACAAAATAGCGAATGAGAGAAATGTCAGTGTCCAGCTTCTCCAGACACTTGCGGATGTAACCGACAACAGGAAGTACATAACCTCGACTCAGCAGGTGTACCATCCTGTCCAACAGGGTCTTCTTCAACTCAAGCTACAAGAGTGAACAGAGAAATCAGTTAGAGAAGGCCCTCTCCTCGGCCACCTGGCAGCCCCGCCCCTCTCACCTGTTCCATCACGTCCAGCTGGGAGTGCTCCGTCTCAAAAAGTTTCACCAGCAGCTGCAGGACCTGGGGGTGTAGGAGCTGGTGGCAGGTGCTGATCTGCAAACAGGCCAAGGAAGCCCTGCTGAGCATGAGGGCTGATCCCAAGGCTCATCATCAGCACACAGAGCCACTGTCACTGTCACAGCCAATAAACAGCTTATCCTAACAACTGTGGTCCCCATCACTCAGCCCAGCCAGTCAGCTGGCTTCACTTAATAAAAACACAGACATCTACACAATGAACCGTCCTCAAAAGGAAAACCCTGGTTTACGATAGAAATAACTCACTTTGGAGATTAAAAATGGAGGCAGAGTAAGTGGATGCTGCATGGACTTGCTCCAGGACCAAACTGGATTTACAACTAAAATACAGAAAAACTTCCTGAATAATCAACAGAAGACTTGCTGGAGAGAACCCTGATAACCAAGGACCAAAAGTGAAGACCCCTTAAAGACCGGTAGGAGGGGCGGAGGGGCGAAAGCGTGAAGGGCTGGCCGGGCTCAGACAGACAGCAACTAAAGTTCCAGAGATGTATCTCAGCTGTGGGGGTTACGACTAAGAACTCTGGGGTCTAATTCCCAAGATAGGCCCCCCCATCAGAGAGCACCAGAAATGAGAAGGGTACCCACAAAACATCTGCCTGTAAGAAGCAGCGGAATTGCTGTCTGCGAGGAAGAGACGGCTAGAAATGCAAACACCCTCTTAAAGCACCAACATACAAAATTCCCTGTGGAGCCACCCACCTTGTGCTCCAGCAGAGGGAGGGCAGAGTGGACTGGAGCTGTGCGAGCAGAAGCTGGGATCAGGGGCTCTGACATTAGAGCTCAGAAGGCAGAAACCCTGGTTTCCTGTGTTGAGTCACTCTCTCAAGCAGCAGAGGACATCTTTCCCACACAGACATTTGCTATATAGGTAACCTGGCCTGGGGGAAATATAGTTGACCCACCATATTGGAAAACACCTTGTCCCATGGAACAGAGTTGCTCAGGCCCATTAAGAGACTGAGAATAACAATTAGCTTCCAGGCAGAAGCAAATGCCCCACCCAGTACAAAAAAAAACTCTCACCACACCTGAGAACCATTGCCTGAGGGCAAGTATAGTAGTCATTCTATCAGTCTGTAAGCAGAGGCAGTGTCTGGAGGTTTTGAGTCTTTGCCTGATCTAATTAGTCAGACATGGGGTTTGACACTGTCCTGCTCTAGAGATTGGGAAGCACAGCAGATCTATCTCATACATACTAGTAGTCACAAACCAAAACAGGCAGAAAAAATGAGGAGACAAAGAAACAACCCCTAAATGAAAGAACTAGAGAATTCTCCAGAAGAAGAGATAAATGAAGCAGAGATAAGAAATGTATCTGAAACAGAGGTTAGAGTAATGATGGTAAAGATGCTCAACAGCATGAAAAAATATATAGTAACTATGAAAACAGAAAAAAAGAATGACATTACACAAATAAAGAACACATTGGAAGGAATACACAGCAGATTAGGAGAATCTGAGGATCGAATCAGTGAATTAGAAGACAGGGTTGAAAAAATGACTCAATCAGAGAACCAAAAAGAAAAGACAATTTAAAAAGAGGAGGATAGATTAAGAGAGCGATGGGACAACGTGAAACATAACAATATTTGAATAGCAGGTATGTCAGATGTGGCAGAAAGGGAGAAAGGGATAGAAAATGTGTTTGAAGAAATAATGGCAGGAAAGGTCCCCAACCTGGTAAAGGAAAAAGTCACACAAGTCCAGGAGGCACAGAGAACCCCAAGCAAGAAGAACCCAAACAGACCCAAGCCCAGACACATAAAATAACAAGAATTATAGACAAAGAGAAAATCTTAAAGGCAACAAGAGAAAAGAAAATTGTTCCCTACAAAGGAGCTTCTTCTATAAGGCTAACACCTGATTTCTTATCAGAAACCCTACAGGCCAGAAGGGAATAGCACAAAGTACACAAGGTAATAGAAAACAAGGTTCTGAAACCAAGATTACTATATCCACCAAGGCTATCATTCAAAATAAAGACCTTCCCAGACAAAAAAAAAAAGGCTAAAGGAGTACATCAACACCAAGCCAACATTACAAGAAATGCTAAAGGGACTACTGTAATAAGAAACAGAGAGAGAAACCTAAGCATACAGAATTAAAATGGCAATAAATAAGTACCTATCAATAACAACCTTAAATGTAAATGGATTAAATGTTCCAATCTCCAATCAAAACACCTAGGGTAGCTGAATGGATATAAAAACATGATCCAAATATATGCTGTCTACAAGAGACCCACCTGACAACACAAAGATAGACCACAGGTTAGGACACAAAATGAGTCTCTACAAGTTCAAGAAGATTGAAATCATATCAGGCATCTTCTCAGATCACAATGGAATGAAATTAGAAATCAACTACAGTAAAAACACCCAAAAACATTCAAACTCATGGAGACTAAATAGCATATTATTAAACAATAAATGGGTTACCAATGAGATCAAGAAAGAAATAAAAAATTTCCTGAAAACAAATGATATGAACACAAAACAACCCAAAAATCTCTAGGAAAAAACAAAGCAGCCCTGAGAGGGAAGTTCATAGAACTACAGGCCTACCTCAAAAAACAAGAAAAATCAACAATAAGCTACTTAACACTACAACTCAAATAATGAGAACAACAAGGGAAGCTCAGAGCAAGCAGAAGGCAGGAAATAATAAAAATTAGAGCAGGAATAAATGACATAGACTAAAAAAGCAATACATAAAATCCATGAAACCAAGAGCTGGTTCTTTGAAACGATAAACAGAATTGATGAACCTTTTGCCAGACTCATCAAGAAACAGGGAGGACCCAAATAAGTAAAATCAGAAACCAAAGCAGAGAAATAACCACTGACACCACAGAAACACAAAGGATCACAAGAAAATACTATGAACAACTATATGCCAACAAGCTGGACAATGTGTATGAAATGAACAAATTCCTAGAAAAAATACAATCTCCCTAAACGGAATTAGGAAGAAATCAGAAAGCCTGAGTAGGCCAATAAAAACTTAGGAAGTTTGAAGCAGTATTCAAAAAACTCCCAGCAAACAAAAGCCTGGGACTGCTTTACAGGGGAGTTTACCAAACATTCAAAGATCACTTATCCTCCTCACACTATTCCACAACATCCAAGAGGAAGGAACACTTCCAAGCTCTTTTTATGAGGCCAGCATTACCCTAATTCCAAAACCAGGTAAAGACACCACAAAGAAAAATAATTACAGGCCAATATCCCTGATGAACATAAATGCTAAAATCCTCAACAAAATATTAGCAAATCAGATCCAGCAATATATTACAAAGATAATGCACCATGACCAAGCGGGAATTATTCCGGGAATGTAAGGCTGGTACAATATCTGCAAATCAATAAATGTGATACACCACATTAGTAAATTGAAAGACAAAAATCACACGATCATATCAATAGACACAGAAAAAGCATTTGACAAAATCCCACACCCATTTTCTATAAAAACTCTCAGCAAAGTGGGAATAGAGGGAGCATAGCTCAACATGATAAAGCCCATATATGACAAACCTACAGCCAACATCATACTCAATGGTCAATAGCTAAAACCATTTCCCCTAAGAACAGGATCAAGACAGGGATGTCCACTTTCACCACTCTTATTCAATATAGTACTGGGAGTCCTAGCCACAGCAATCAGACAAGAAGAAATAAAAGGCATCCAAATTGGAAAGGAAGAAGTAAAACTCTCATTATTCGCAGATGACATGATATTGTACATAGAAAACCTTAAAGACTCAACCAAAAACTTCTAGATTAATAAATGAATTTGGCAGTGTAGCAGGATACAAAATTAACCCTAAAAAATGGATGCCTTTTTAAAAAAATATATATTTTATTGATTTTTTTACAGAGAGGAAGGGAGAGGGATAGAGAGTTAGAAACATCGATGAGAGAGAAACATCGATCAGCTGCCTACTGGGGATGTGCCCGCAACCAAGGTACATGCCCTTGACTGGAATCGAACCCAGGCCGACGCTCTATCCACTGAGCCAAATCGGTCAGGGCTGGATGCCCTTTTATACACCAATAATGAATTCCCAAAAAGAGAAACTAAAGAAGCAATCCCATTTACCACTGCAACAAAAATTTTAAAATTCTTAGAAATAAACTTAACCAAGGAGACAAAAGAACCGTACTCAGAAAACTACAGGACATTGAAAAAATACATATAAGAACATAAAAACAAGTGGAAGAATAGACCGTGTTCACGGGTCGGTAGAATTAACATCTTTCAAATGTCCATACTACCCAAGGCAATCTACAAATTCAATGCAATCCCTATTAAAATACCAAGAGCATATTTCACATCTCTAGAACAAATATTCCAAAAATTTATATGGAATAAAAAAAAGACCCCGAATAGCTGCAGCAATCTTGAGAAAGAAGAAGAAAGTTGGAGGAGTCACAATACCAGATTTCAAGTTATACTATAAAGCCACCATAATCAAAACAGCCTGGTACTGGTAAAAGAACGCCATATAGATCAACTGAACAGAATAGAGACCCTAGAAATTGACCCAAGCCATTATGCTCAATATTTGACAAAGGAGGCAAGAGCATACAAAGGAGTCAAGACAGTCTCTTCAATAAATGGTGTTGGGAAAATTGGACAGATACCTGCAAAAAAATGAAACTAGACCACCAACTTACACCATACACAAGAATAAATTCAAAATGGATAAAAAACTTAAATGTAAGTTGTGAAACCATAAAAATCCTGGAAGAAATCATAGGCAGCAAAATCTCAGACATCTCTCATAGCAATATGTTTACGGATACATATCCTAGGGCAAAGGAAACTAAGGAGAAAATAAAAAATTGGGGCCACATCAAAATAAAAAGCTTCTGCTCAACAAAAGAAGCCATCAACAAAATGAAAAGGGAGCCCACCTAATGGGAGAACATATTTGGCAATGATACATCTGAAAAAGGGTTAAAATCCAAAATATATAAGGAACTCAGACAACTTAACAGAAGGAAGACAAACAATCCAATTAAAATATGGGCAAAGGATATAACTAGACACTTCTCCAAAGAGGACATACAGATGGCTAAGAGACATATGAAAAAATGCTCAAGATCACTGATCATCAGAGAGATGCAAATTAAAATGACAATGAGGTATCACCTCACACCTGTCAGAATGGCTACCACCAACAAGTCAACAAATGACAAGAGCTGGTGAGGATATCGAGAAAAGGGAACCCTAGTACACTGCTGGTGTCAATGCAGACTGGTGTAGCCATTACTGAAAACAGTATGGAGTTTCCTCAAAAAACTAAATATGGATCTGCCATTTGATCCAGTGATCCCACTTCTAGGAATATAACCTAGAGATACATGAAATAAAAATCAGAAAGAATGTATGCACCCCTAGTTCATAGCAGCATTAATTTGCAATAGCTAAGATCTGGTAAAAGCCCAAGTGCCCATCAGTAGATGAGTGGATAAACAAGCTGTAGTACATTTACACCATGGAATGCTATGCAGCAGTAAAAAAGAAGGATCTCTTACCCTTTGAGACAGCATGGAGGGACCTGAAGAGTATCATGCTAAGTGAAATAAGTCAGTCAGAGAAAGACAAGTATCACATGATTGCACTCCTATGTGAAATCTAAATAACAAAATAAACTAATGAACAGAATGTATCCAGAGCTTTGGAAGCATGGAACAGAGTGCAGAATCTTAGAGGGAAGGCGGGGAGGGTAGGTGGGTGGGAGGTAATCAACCAAGGACCTTGTATGCATATATGCATGGCTCATGGACACAGTTAATGGGGCAGTGAGGTCCTGGGTCTGGGGATGGGCTGGACGGGGTCAGGTGGGGGGAGGGAGAAGGAGACATATGTAATACTTTCAACAATAAAGAATTATTTTTAAAAATTCTGAAATTAGAAAAAATAAACAAACAATAAGACAAATATAATATTTAGGGACAACAGAAAAGTTATTGATAGCAAGAAATGATATCTAAGTTAATATATTAATATAAGTGGATGATAGACAGCAAGGTATGCTAACTTTTTTCATACAAAAGGCAGAAAAAATACTTTTTTCTATTTGCTTTAATAATGATAGAAATAAAGTCTAAACAGAAGCATGAGTACATGCAACTGACAGTTGACAAAGGGAGGGGCAACTGGAAATAAAAATGAAATAACGTGCTTTGATAAGAATTTCCTGAGTTCACTGTACAGATGTGCTAGAAACACAAGCACATATAGCACAAGGACGGACAGTGCCGCAGGTCCTGGTACAATGTTTTCTTCAATGTCGTTTTGTTTCGACGCTGATGGGATGCTAGGGGCACTAACTCTGGTTCCTATGCATTAGCCCATGATCAAATCGTTTCCCTTTAGTCAACGCACCACTGTGTGCTGTGTGTGGCTCTCCCGCCCCTACCTCATCCAGCAGCGCCAGGTGCACCGGGGTGTGGTCAGTCTGAAGTTGGAAGTACCGAGGCTCTGACACGGTCCAGTCCACCCACTTCAGCACACCCATCGCCACCACTGGAAACCTGCCGGTAACAAGACACAATGCTCCCTTTCAAAATTTTTTCAGCAACAAACAAAGGTTTAAAAAACAAGGACAACAAGCTCAATCTATCCCATCAATCCTTTCTGATACTCTCTGCAAGGGAGATACCCATTAGTGAGATGAGCCGGCTCCCTGCCAACACGCAGTGAAGAACCCTGCTCAGCGCTCGGCTCCTTTACTTCCTCCCCGCTTGACAGGAGAGCATCCATGCAGCCCCGCGGGAGCTGGGGGACAGGCTGAAGTTCAGTGTTATTTAGCAAACTCCTTCTTTGTCCCTATAGCACAGGCTGACGGGAAAGACTCAAGCGCCTAGAGAACACCCATTTGTAAGCTTTTCTATGAACTCTTACTGATATAATTGGCATAATTGTTGGGTCTAACTTTTCCTGTCAATAGACCCTTTTCTCCAAATCAGTTTTTGTAACTCAGTTTAAAGTTCTCTATAAACATTCAAACAAGAAAAAATAAATGAGTAAACATTTCTGAAGCTTCTGCAGGGTTTTGAGCAAACTACTCCAAGGGATGAAGGTGAGCCCCAAGTGGTCTGCTTACCTGATGCACTGGTAGAGTGTGCTCAGCTCGGCCACCAGTTCAGAGGCTCCCTTGTTCTCATTACAACACAGATTGTGAACGGTTTCGACCGCCTTCGACGTCGACTTCAGCTCATCCTTGTTGATGCTCACTCGCTTGTTCTGAAAACACCCCCAACCCCGTTGGTGAATCCCACGGAGCACATGCCTAGCCAGTGGGGTGATCTGCTATGGGCCACCTCTCCCTGCAAAGGCCCCTCCCTACTCTGAAGTCAGGGGTCCATTTACATTTAACTGTCACCCTCCCCAGGCACACATTACAGAGAGACTGAAAAAGGTCTCTTTTTTTTTTAAGATCTCATTCTTTAGTCACAACAAACTTCAAACTATAGTTTGAATAAGTAGTAGAGATGCTGTGTTCATTTTCTTGAGACTGTTTTTGGCACTTCGACTGTTTTATGAATAAACACTAAAAAAGACATTTCTGACACTATACGGGCTCATGATTTCTTGTAGCCAGAATCCCCAACCGCCGAGAGGAGGGGGTCACTTGTGTCCCTAACAGCACCTTCTTCCAGGTCTCCACCACGCTGGCCGCATACGCCAAGATGTGGATGTACTTGTGCTTGTGGTCCTGGTTGATCCTGGCACCGGGTTTGAAGAGCGACTGCATGAACAGGTCCAGGAAGGCTGGCACCCGGATCTGGGGAGGACACATGACAAGTTGGGAAGGGACGCAGAAACATGGCAGGTGAGTCCACGCGCTCTCATGTGGTGGGTGGTGGGCCGTGAGTGGCGCACACCCAGCAGCTGCTTCAGTGTGTGGGCTTGGCGTGGGATGGGGAGGACCAGGCAATGCCCAGAAACATTTCGACAGGAGTTTGTGCTCACTGGCGTGAGAGAATTAAGAGAGACACAGACTTCTGCAGTCCCCCTTCCAACTCGGCACGGGGTGCCCCGCTTTACTGTTACAATGAAAAGGCACTTACGAGTTCAACAGGAGGCGGGTCCATGCTCGTAAACATCTTGAACAGGACTGTGATGTCAGCCGGATTCAGGGCTCCTTTGGACAACATAGCCCCAAGGGCCTGGCACGCCCTCGGGTAGGAGGCAGCCGTGCCTAGTGCTAGTGTGATCTGACTGGCGTCATGGCCTCTTGGTGAAAACAATCAGATATCTCATCGTCAGTAAGGGAGCATACACCATTAGTGACCCCTCCCCGCCTCCCTTTTCCTCCGTGAATGCTCTGACGGCTGGGATCTGTTTTTCCTAGTCCTGCTTTCACGGTACACTCACTAACTGACCCAGGCGACAACACCTGGAGCTACCGGGAAGGAAGGGCTCCAACACAGCTCGCAGACTTCCTAAAAGGAACCACTCACTTTCTAAATACCTTGTTAAGACTCCACCAGTAGAAAATAAAGAGCTAATCTTATTCTACAATATGGACACCACCACAATAATTAGACTACTGACTAACCACTTCCAGACTATTCTTATTTACAGCTGATAAATCCCCATATATGAAAACACAGGTTCAAAACTCCAGTGAGTTGAACAATCTTCAAGTACTTAACAAATTATTCATCAAAGCAACACTTAAGGAAGCAAGGCCTCCCCACGTCCTGAAGTTCCCCTGGCTTCTCCAGCTTGGGGGTCAGAGGCAGGCTGCCTGTGTGACCGGATAAGAGGGCCTAGAATCTTCGCTTGTGGAAGCAGGGCAATGGGGGGTGTACTGGGGCACCTAGCGGGACCCGGTGATCACAGACACCACTCACTTCTCCTGGGCGAAGCGCTGGACCTCCTGAGCGATCCTGCGCACGGCGGAGCCGCCCTGCTCCTCCTGAGCCAGCACAGACATCATGGCCTGGGCAAACAGGTATGTGTGCTCCCCATGGCACACCATTTTCTGAAAATTTCCAGGGAGAGAGTGTGAGGTTTCACGATACAGCAATGACAAATGCAGAGCAAAGAGCAGATGACCCTGTCCTCCTGAAGGAAGCTGCCACTGTGGAAGGAGCTTTTGGCCGGGGTGTCCCCTAAAGGAAGGGGCATTTCACACGGGAAATGCTCGACCCAACTGCCTCCTTCCACTCCGAGATCAATTAAAAACTTACGGCAAACTCAGGAAGATTTTTTTCAAGGTTTTCTTCTCCTCCATCCAAAATTGTAGCCAGAGAGGTACGGAGTACTCTAGAGAACACCTCCAGCTGCTGGCAGGCTGTGGATACACTGGTTATCTCCCCTTGGTACCCTGCGTCAGAAATAAGCTACAACCAAAAATAAGAAGCCAAACAGAGTGTCAGCAAGTAGCGGCTACACATTTCACAGCAAGTTGGCTTGTTATCAGTGTTCGTGGTGAGATGGGACAAGCAAGCACTGGTCTCAGTCACACACCTTCACTCTGACCCTGCTTCGCCTCTAACTAGGTTTGTGCCCAAGCCGACCACCTGGCTCAGTTTCTTTGTGAAATGGAGGAGACAGACCAGGCAGTCCTAAAGGCCCCCTTGGGACACAATGGACTCTCTGTTTCTGCCAAATCCTAGAAACCCCAGATATGTTGACCCAAAAGCACACACACAAATTCTGTGCTTTTCTTTCTCATGTAAGGCTTACTAAAGTAAGATGAAGGCCTTTACCCAAAAAGCAAATGCAGTCTTTCAAAGGAGAAAGATCACCCACCCACTAACCATCCTTAAAAATAACAATTGCTCATGAATGCTTTTGTCTTTCTCTGACTCTGGCCCTCTTCCTACCTTAACAGTGAAGTTAAGCATCAAACAGTCTGGATGAGCTTCAGCCAGTTTGTAGAAAAGATCTCTCCATGTGGTATGTGCAATCATTTGTTCAAGCCAAGCTGGGGTCTGCCAACAGACAGACAGACAGACAGACAGGGAGAGGTGAGGCCCAGCATTAGCTTAGTGAAGACTGTGCTGTCTAAACAATCACGGATATTTTCAGCTGCAGAGTAGAGCCCTGGGAGCATTGGATGTGGCCCCACAGTCCCAGAGCTGCTGACGCCACACGGGCAGCTGAGTGACAGTTGAACACCCACTCACGGCTTCTGGGAGAGCCGACTCCACACAGGACACGCCGAGGCACTTCCTGGAGACTTCCAAGAGTCCCACAGAAGCACGCGCACAGGAGTACATCACACGCACAACTGCTTCCTGCTAAATCAGCTGTGCGCCTGGGCACAGAGGACAGGCAACTGAAATAGCGCAGATGGCTTTGCCATCACTGGTGAAGCAGTCATGGGAATGTGACTCTCGGCTCTCCTACTGCATGGCTGCCAGGGCTGTGCTCTGCATCCACCAGCCTTCCGCGCCAAGGTTGAGCTGCCCATAGGCTGCTCCCAGACACTGAGGGTGGCAGGGCTCTGAGGGCTCCAGTGACAGGTGATTGTGGCTTGCAGACTCTGACACTGCTGAAACTTTCTGACAACTGCACTATCGTCTGAGACCCCTCGTACCCGCCCTCCCTCTTGTCTTCCGGAGTCAGACCTGCCTCACAGCTCCTCAGCCTCCTCTAGCCACTACCCGTCTTCCTCAAAGGTGTGTCCCCCCAAACCTCCCACTTACTAATCCAGCCCTGGCACCTTGCTTTTGGAGGACCTAAATGAACAAACCACACCACCTCAGAGCCTGTGCCTAGAGTAGCACGGAATGGGAGGTGGGAATCTGCTGTTCTTTCTCTGGAGCTGGTACCTGTGTGCCTCTCCCCACTAGACCAAGTGTGGTATTTAAAGGGCAATTCTGACTCGATGCAACTTCTGGCTCACACCCCGATTTTAGTCCCTAACTCTTACATTTCTTATATAACATGCCACACTCCACTGTACACATGGAATTAGCAAAAGGCCTTAGGAACTGGTATTAGAAAAAGAAAAAAAGGCCCCTCACCTCTCCTTCTTCAGTAAAAATAGAGTCTGCTTTGCGGGGGTCAAAGTGTTTGATCAATAAATTCTTCAAGTGATTCTCCACGGTCTCCTGCACCTGCACGGGTTCAACGCCTGAGAGAGAACGACAACCTCTCAACTCGTTGTGTTGCTTTAAAGAAAGTAGATAGCTCCAGTCTATACGTGAGACAAATATCAGAGACCTGCTTCTGACAACTGAGGATCTGGGATCTCTTTTAAAAATTCCTAGTTAGTAACCCTACTCAGTGCTAAGAGCCCAAAGGAGCACAGAGCAGAACACAAGGATGCTCTACCCTTTTCTACACAGACAGGACAATGTCTTCAGTCCTCGCTAAGGACAAGGACAAATGACCAAACCAGACAGGCAGGGGGACAGACAGGCACACCCCTGCACAGGAGGAGGGAGCAGATGCCAGCCAGCAGAGACACTTGTCTAACCACTGTGACAGCGATGACAGACTCGTTTTCAGGAAGTCTTACTGTGTCGTCGCAGCCACTTTCGTGACTGACAGGAGGCTCTACTCTGATCACATTCGCTGAAAGCCACAATCATACTCAGCCCTAAACTGTCCACCATCTGCTGTTTGCTATCATGGGCCTCTGAAATGGCACACTGACCATACACCGTATAACAGTCCAATGAGAATCACAGTAGTGGGCTATCTGTAAACCTCAGTTCCCGAATGAAAGATAAGGGTAGGAAAGTTCAGTTCCATCTTACTACGTCTTAAAAACCAGGAAGACAGAGAAGCTTTCCTATTTATCGGCATTATAATGACCCAAAGGTCTTCGAAAAAGCGGGAGACGGTGATGAGCAGCCAGGACGGGCCGCCCAGAGCACCTGTCTGAATGAGCCACTCGGGCCGCCCAGAGCACCTGTCTGAATGAGCCACTCGGCCAGCAGGTTGACAGTCTGGGCCACAGCAGTGTAGTTCTCTGACAAGAGCTGGATCACGTTCTCTGGAGACCCTCCTGCCTGGAAGTACCTAGAAAAAGGAACAAACTCTCACCCTAAAGTGACGGTAGACAGGCAAGGGGGTGGATGACAATAGGGAGGCAGGTAAGGAGGGACAGGTTATTAAGGTTTTTACAGTGTGGAGGGGACCCCTAGAAGCCTTCCTGTCCAATATCACAGCATTCTTACTTTTACAGGTCACCTTCTGGGCCCACTACAAAACCTTCCCTAAATTATCGCCACCCTCGTCCCAAAACAAATAACCCTTCTCACGTTCGTACCTCTTGAGAGTGTTGAAGATGGAGGGCTCCATGATGTAGTCCCGGGTGGAAAACTTGTGGAGGCACTCCTGCTGGACCTCAGCGTCATCCTCCCCCTCGGCATACTCCTCCTCCTGCGGGGGGCCATTTCTCCATTAACACACGCTCCGGTAACCTCACAAGTCTCTCTCACACTGTCCCCTTCAAATTATTCCACACACGGCACATTATTACATGTGACTTCCGTGCGACTCTCAGGGAGTGGGCTGGCCAAGAAAATGGGATCCAGAGTCACACCAAGGGGGTCTGTCTTGGCCTCTACCCTGGAGAACCTGTGCACGCGGTCACACAAGCCACCTCGCCTCTGGGCACCTTCCCTGTTAAACAAAGGGCATCAAAGCACCTGCTCCCACTTGGCTGTTGGGAGGACTGCACAGCTAATTTTTGGAAGAGCCAAATCCAGTGCCTGCCATTTAGTAAGAGTTCAGCAGACATTAGCTATTACTGTTTTTACTATTATTCTGTATGTGCCATTTCACGCTTTCTGGCCAAGTTAAGGCAATAGTGATTCCTGCAGGCACACACCGCCCATCTGCTGTTAGTAAAGACCACAGACTTGCATCGTATAAGCAGCCCTGGCTGGGTTCTAGCCCCCTTCTACCTGGAAACCACTTAAGCACGTTCCCGAGTCTAAGGACAAAGCAGCAGGATGATGTGATAACCGTGGACCAGTGACCCCGAGGTCTGCCCAGCTTTCCCTCTGTTGTCCTAACGAACAAGCAGGGGCTCCTGAACACTTGCTGTGCGCTGGGAGCACTGGCTGACCCCCAGGGACCTAGGAACATGGAAGACAAGGCGTGTCTCTCCACCCAAGTTCACAAACTAGTCAGAGACCAACCTCCATGTCACTGACTCTCCGTGGGGCCAGAGCTGGGCCAGACTCAGCAATCGTGGCCGCGGCCCAATCCAGTCCTCCTCTTGCTTTTGTGAATAAAACTGTATTGGAACAACAGCCAACCCCGTTTTTTAACAACATGGTACCTATGGCTGCTTTCCCCTTAGAAGAGCAGAGCTGAGTGGCTGCAGAGACCTGCACAGCCTAAAGCCCCGTGGCCGTTACAGAGAAGTCGGCCACCCCTGTGCGGACCGGGGGTCCCCGCTGAGACCGTGCCTGCCCGGGAGCCCTGAACAAGGCTGTGAGGGACGCGGGACTCCCCGAGGCTCCTCCTCCTGTATGAGTCTTGGGCCTCGACCCTGGACCCCCCTCCCTCCTCCTCCATCTCCTCTCGGACCAGACCACCTCCCTGCCCGTGAATCCAGAATTTAGCCTCGATCAATCGATTGATGGATGGATACCTCTCTCTCTCTCTCCAGACTCAAGTGTTCATCCGTCTATTCTCATGTCCATTCAGATGCCCCACCAGAATTCCAAACTCACTTGATCCAAAACTGGCCTCACCTTTCCCCTCCAGCCCATATTTCAGTACAAGGCTCCCCATCTGCCTGCTACCCCAAGGCCACAGACCTAGGCACCCTCAATCCCCCGCCTGTCGGTCCTGCGAGGCCCTTCTCGCCATCTTCCCTCTCTATCCTGGGGGTGTCACAGGACCAGCATTCCCCTCTCACCGCTCACCCGATGCCACAGGCATCTTTTAGAAATGTTTTACTTTTTAACCCTCACCCGAGAATATTTTTTTGCTGATTTTAGAGAGGGAAACACGGATCTGTTGCCTCCTGTATGTGCCTGACCTAAGTATGTGCCTGACCTGAATCGACCGGAAACCGTTCTGTACCCGGCGATGCTCCACCAACCCGGCCACTGGGCCGGGCCGGCCACCTTCCTAAGCCGCCAAGCAGGCGTCGCGCCCCGAAGACACATCCGCTCTGGGGTGCCCTCGGCCTCCGGCTGCCCCTGGCCAGGCTCTGCCCTCGCTCATGCTTCCCCCGCGTGGACGTCACATCTCCCCACTTCCCTCCATCAGCAAGCTCGGCCCCAGGGGACAGGACAGGAGTCACAAAAATGAACCCAGCAGCATCGTCCCGAACTCAGCTCAGCCACCCCTTCATCTTCCCTGCCCTTCTCCTCGTCTGCTCAGGTACAGGTCGCCATTGCGAGCGACAGTGCCAGCTCGCCGGGCCCAGCCCCAGCGCGAGCCCAGTGGGGGCGGAACTGGGTCGTGGCTGAGGCTCGGTCAGTGGGCCGCAGCCCGGGCCGCCATGCCCCTGCGCCCGCGCCCGGCGAGGCGAGGCCCTGCCCAGCGAGGCGAGGCCCTGCCCGACTCTGGCCTCGAAGGTGCCACGTGGCAAACTTGAGGACGGGGCGCTCCCAACTCCACCCGCCACTGCGTCGGCCCATCGGGCCACGTGGGGGGCCGGCAGTTTGATACAGTGGCAATGGCGGCAGGGACCTGGGGTCACCCCGTGTCACGGCTGGTGCCGCCCTTGCCCCCGCCCTGCGGGCCGCCAGGGCAGGCGCGGAGCCCACACGCCGCGTGCGTGGCCCTGGCGGGCGGGTGGGCGGGACGTAAGGGGCGGGCCCCGCCGGCCGGGGTGGGAGGCGACGGGCAGGGCGGCGCGCTGTGCTTGCACCACAAGGTAACCGCGGGGCCGACGCGGCGGGGGCGGGCCGCCCGGTGCCCCCTCACCTGGCCGCCGTCCGCCTCGTCGCCCCGCTCGGCCGCGCTCACGAAGTACTCCTCGTCCATGATGGCGCCCGGCGCGGCCCCCGCCATCGTCTCCCGGGAGCGAGCGCGCGGCCACGGCGCATGCGCACGACGGGCGGGAGAGCGCACGCGCGGCCCCGCGGCCCGGCCTCCCGCGGCCGTGTGCCTCAGCCCAAGCCGGGGGCGGGGGCGGGGCCAAGTGGAAGGGGCGGGGCACCGGGAATTGCCCCAGGCTCCCCGACCCAGGTGCTGAGGGCCTGGAAGCTGGGTGGGGTGCGGGCCTAGGGAACGTCCTGGAGTGACCCTGGAGCACAGCCGGTTAGAAGTTTTGAACTAGAGCAGGGTGGGCAAACTTTTAAACTGGACGGGAGGGCTGGAACAAAAGCATGGATGGAGTGTTTGTGTGAACTAATATAAATTCAAAGTAAACATCATTACATAAAAGGGTACGGTCTTTTTTTGTTTTAGTTTTATTCATTTCAAATGGGCAGGATCCGGCCCGCGGGCCGTAGTTTGCCCACGGCTGAGCTAGAGTCATGCTTGGCCTGGGTTCGCGTCCCCTCCACTTCTAACCTGTGACTTTTAGTCCTGAAATCATCTGCTTCCTCGTCGGATAACTGGCCCCATAGCAGGGCTGACTTATCAGACACAGGGTCTAGGGCCCACGAAAATGTTTTTATTTCTTTTAAATCGGAAGAACAATAACTATTATAACAATGAATCCAGCCTGGATTACATTAGTATATGTATAATTGGTATAAAGAACTAATGCAGTATAATATGTAATTTTTAATATTTCTTTATGAAAGAAGGGCCCATGAAGGCCAAAGTACTTAGAGCCCACAAATGGAGCCCTAGAAAAGAGGAGCTTGCACACAGTAGGTGCTTATTTCCTGTGGTAGCTGCTGAGAATAACAGAGATGATGCTTTTTAAGCCCAAAGCATGGTTCTCAACACATAGTAGGAGGTCCAAAAGCAAGAACCTCCAGACTTCATGGAAAGTTTTGAACAAAGATGTTAACACCCTCTGTTCTGGATGCTGTAAGGGCATCAGAGACAAGAGCGCTGGATACTGATAATAGGATGATTTCTGGAGGGCTCCCCAGGAAGGCACTGTGCTTTCATTCATTCCTTCTTTCATTCCTTTGAGCACTGTTTATTTACCTGTGCCTGACTCTATGCTACTTTTGGAGCTCATTGGTGAACAAATTGGACATGGTCCTTACCCTGAGGGAAGCTACATCTACCCAGGGAGCTGAATGAGGAGAACAAATAAAATAATGACAGAGGATGACAAGTGCTAGTGTTCTGTGATAATAGAAGGGAATGACTTCGGCCAACCAGAGAAAGCTTCTCTGAGTCATATGCCAAAAGGAGTCAAGCAAGCTATGACCGGGAGAGAACACTGTAGGAGAGCAGAGCTGCTTGCCATGTGTCTTTGGAACACAAAGGCCATTGAGAGTGGCACCAGGCAGGCCAGGGAGAAGCCCAGATGAAGCAGAGGAGACAGGCAGGGCCAGATCCTGGTAGGGAGTTAGGTTTTCAACTGAGGGCTATTAGGAAGGATTTAGACCCCTTAGCATGGAGCTTGCACACAGTAGGTGCTCAGTAAGTATTAGTTACTATGACGAGGAGGAAACATTTGGGGTTTTTTTTGGTTTGCTTGCTTTGAGGGAGTGACAGATCATATCTGGGTTTTTGGTGCTGTGTCCCCATAGCTGAGGGGGGAGGCCTTATGTTGGGGAACTTGGAGATGGGAATGCAAGATGGGAGGCCTCAGTGGGAGTTAACGGGTTAAGAAGGGGCTGGGGTAGATGCTCTAAGATTGAGGTTCAGTCCAGAGAATGTAGCAGTCTTGGGAGGGGGGTGGGGAGTGGCTATTGAGTGGGCCAGGAAGATGCTGAGACTTGCAGCCTGTGTGCCCGGGATGGAGGAAGTCAGGTTTCTGCAAGGGACCATCCTGAATTCAGATAGGGACTCGCAGAATTGGAGGTGCCATCGGAACCCCTCTGTGGAGTTGTCTTGCAGGTGGCTGGAGGTGGAAGTCTGTGACTCTAGCTCCTAGTCACAAAATGAAATCTATTAAGTTAATGAATGAATGCCCTGCTGATGGCTTGTTGCAGGGTTCATTTCCATGTGCTTTCTGAAGTGCTGCAAAGAATGGATGGCTGTTAAACTCCTACCTTCTCTCCTCTTGGATTTCCTTTTATAAAATAGTGCCTGAATTGAAAGCAGGCAAATTAATCCATGTATAAGCAATTGCTCGTATAGAAGCAGGGCTTATGTAACTCACCTCTCCCTCAATCAAAAGGTTACTCATTAAATGGATGAACAAACAGCCCCTAATGAAAGCATTATCTTCGGTCTGTAACTCGAAATGATTTAGCATATTGGGTCTATAGGTCTTGCCTCCTGAGATATGATTGACTTGTTTTTTTAAAAGCCTTTCTAAAATGTCCAAATTAGCTTTCATTGCTTAAAATAAATACTCTAAAAACATTTCAAGATGATTTCCTGTTTAAGAAAAATTCTGGTGGAAATTTCCATGGAAATGAAGAGTTGGTTTCACTTAATCCATTTGAGGAACATTTGGAGAACACCTCGGTGTCATGTGCTGGGATGTAGTTGTAAACCATCGACACAGTTTAGTGCTGATGTCGGAAAAAATAAACGCTGTCTCTTATGATAGGGAAAGTGCAGAGGGTCAGGGGCTTGAGCTCATGGAGAGGTCAAGGAACATCTCTCTAGGGAAATGATATTGAAGTGGAGACTTCAGGCTTGAACATGGAATCCTAAGAGAATAGGGCAGAGCAGAGAAAATAAAGATGACAGTGAGAGGAAGTGGCTGGAGTGCAGACCAGAAAAGGGGGGGGGGGGGGGAGAAATGCCTGAGAGATAGAGGCAGGAGTCGGATGACCTAAAAAATGTGCAAGAGATGTGAACTTTATCCCCATGGGAATAGGTAGCCATTGAAAGCCTTTAAACACAAGGGTGACATGATCATATGTAGGGATTTCAGAAGGTTGTTCTGGCTGCCAGGGAGCAAAGCAGGGGTTGGGAGGCCAGTTAGGATGCTGTTGACACAACATCCAAGTTGAGACTGTTGGTTGCCGGAGTCCATTCATTGTCTTCACTAGCTGAGTTTAGACAGAGACCCCCAAAAGCTAGTAACCTTTGAAGTCCTAGCAAAGGTCAGGACTGCGCACCACCCAGTTAATCTAGGAACCACCCAGTTAATTTAGGTAATAATAGTTGAAGCATCATCCCCACCTTAGTTCACTTAATTCCTTAGATACTTGTGTAGATCTTTGTTGATTATTGTTGATCAGATACTCTGCCCATTCCTGGAAATCATCTACTGATGAGCTAATCAGATACTCTGTATATTCCTGGAAATTGTCTGCTGATCTGTGTGTCATTGAAACCTCCTTACCCTAAGGGCTACTCCAGATCAATAAAAGATTGGAGCGGCCTGAGCATCGGTGGAAGTCCTTCGGGACTTGCCTGCCTGGTCCCCCAATATTGCAAAATTATCTCGTGCCATTTCTTTCTCATTTGTTGTGCGGCTCCTCTTTCAGATACCGAACCCTACTCCACGCAGAACGTGGAGGGAGTGTTACTCAACAGTTGGTAACTGCAGTTAAGGCAGGCTTGAGGCTGAAGTGAACACATTTGTATAAGGCTCAGAAGGCCAGACAGAGGGGGTCTGAAAGGTCTCACCCAGTGAGTGCATAATAAACACACAAATATTTAAGTCCTTCATATTCCATCATGCATCAGCCCACTCTTCATGCCACTGAACAGCACCTGCCACTGCCAACCTTTCTGCCACATCCAAAGAGCACTTCTGTGTCTTCATTCTGATTGATATTCCAACACTAATCAGCACAGATAGCCCTGACCCTCTTGAAATCCAATCCTTCCCCTGTATCGGCAGCACTGCACCTGCCTAATTTGCCTCCCACTGCCTTAGCTGTTCCTTCTCAGACTTCTTCCCCTGTTGTCCCCATACATTTCTCTAGCTATTTCAGTTCCTCGGGATGCAGGCTTGGAGTCTTCTCGACCTCCACTCTCTTCCTAGGAGATCTCATCTCTCCTGCCCCTTCAAAATCATCTATATGCTGAGAACTCTCAAATCTGTATCTCCAACCCTTGTGTCATCTCTGATCTCCAGACTTGTGTATCTAAGTGACCTAACTGCCCCTTGACCTCACGATTGGGTTTCCCCAGGGGCATCTCAGCATTTCTGTCAGTACCCCAACGTGGTCCTTCTGCAGGAAATGGGGCCACCAGCTCCACAGTTACCAATACCAATCACTTGGAAGTCATCATTAACTTTTGTTCCCCATACAATCCAAAAGTACTTCCTGTATCAATTTTGCTTTAAAAGCATACCTTCAGTCTCCATATCTCTCATCTCCACTGTCACCTTCTTAGTCCAGATTTCCACGGGGTCTCACTGAGTCAACGGCAATAACCTCAAACTAACTGGCCACATCTATCCTTATTCTGTTACAGTCCATTCTCCAAACATCCACAAAGTCTTGCCTTTTTACATTTTGCTAAATCACTTTATCATAAAGAAAAACACTAAAGATTGCAAAATCCCCCCCCCCCTTTTTTTTGCTATAATTTGTGTCTTCATGAGGCAAATAAACTGGACAAATACTTATGGGGCTGCTACATGAAGGTTAGGTGCCAAGAGGGGAACCAGGAGACTGATGTGAATGTGACCCATGCCATCAAAGAGCTGCAGATCCAACAGGGGAGATATGACATGCATATAGATCATTGAAATACATGGATAACAATGACATGCTGTGAGAGAAGTGCTGATGGTGTTCTCTTGCATTCAGAAAAGGAAGATCTTATTTTTGGCTGAAATGGTTAGGGGCTGTTTCTCGGAAGAAATGGCTTTTGAGCCAATACTTAGCAGGTAGGCAGGATTTCAGCATGCGGAGATTATAGAAAAGGGCGTATTAAGGAAAAGGAACAAGAAGCAAAGGGCATTTGGGAAATAAGAAATGGCTCCGTCCTGTTGATTCACAAGGAAGGGAAAAGGGCCCTGAGAGAAAAAGCTGGAAAGTAGTGCAAGATCTTGGAATGCTTTGAATTACATG